CTTTTTTACGAGTGAAGGAAAACCTTTTTTTATGTATTAAAATTATTAAAGCAATGTCAGAAAGGTCAGATAGTCATACATTTAACACGTATTTAGCCGCATAACGCTAAAAAACGTTTCATTGTTATTGATTAAAGTCGAGCTCAGATCACGTACGAAATTATAAACCTTTACGAAATGCCCTTGTCTTTGAATTTTTTGTTCTAAAGTTACTCATTTATAGGGACACCCTTTAGATATATTAAAATTGACTCAGTTTTAAAGGTACTTGAACTACGCGAAATTTTACGCTACTATGCCAATTCACACTATTTAATTATTGCAAACTTTATGCCAACTCATTAAATGAAATATGCAAAGTAGGTTGGCAGACAGAAAATCGTTAATTTATAATTTATTGATCATTCATCAAGTCAGTAAGCCTGTTACAACAAGACAATAATAATTGTCTGTACTTGGTCATGCCAAATTAGAAGACAAACAAATATGGTCGACTGCCTATTTATATAGTTTGTTTACATTGCAGGCACAGACTAGGTCACAGATGCGACACTGTTTTAAAACCAATTCAATAACCACTACTACAATAGTCGATAATAAACTTAAAATATAATTCTATTCTTTGAGACATTTCAAAGAATATAATAGATATATTTGACTAGAAACATTAATTTTTTCAACATTTTCATCTACAAAACAAAATCCCCAATATGAAAAATAGCAATTTTAAATAAATAACGAAATTGATATTCCAGTGGAAGTCAGTCTAAACCAAAAAAATAATCTACGTGTAATACCTACAAGTGTAAAGGAATTAGGCACAAAAATATAACGGTGTCATCACTATGTCATGTCTACTAATCCCTAACACAAGCTAAGTGTCACAGCTACACACATTTGAGACGTGAAGCACTTTATAGGTCAAAGTTTGTTAAAATTCACGTTGCGTACTCATATGAATAGAAGATTAAGTCTAAATGTGGGTCAGAATGGTTATTTTTGAAAAGGTTTTGACCGGTCGTGGAGTCGAGAAATGGTATTGTATGCGAATGTACCTAACCATTACTTTTTTAGAGCATGGTATAAATATAACGTATAACATGTACTTGTTATACATATTTAGATCTAAAATTAAACGCTGATGCTATATTCAAGTGTTTTTATTTAGGTATATGTATTCAGACTAAAAATATTACAATTGTAGCCGTAAATAATGATATTTAGCTCAATAAAGAAAAATATACACTAACAGAGTATCGTTTCCTGATTGCAAACTAATAGTTACAGCGTTACAAATCAATTATTAACTTATTGAACGAAGCGTGGAGCAACTCACGCGTCTGCCGCATAATCTGTGGTTGTATTCAATTTCAAAATTGTTTCTTATACCCGTTAACCCAGACTTTGCTCAAACAAACGTCTTTAAAAATATTTCCAAGGAATATTAAACGTTTATTTCAGTGACTGATTCTGAAGTGGTATGAAATTCGAGGCAACTTGAACTAGTCAAAATTTGATTAAAAATAGTATTTTGTCACAAAGGGTGCTCTCTATTTTGAACTTCACAAAAGATTCAAAGTAATGAAAAGTACACAAAGGGTCGATTTTTTATTAAAATCTTTCAGACGATTTTAATATACCTAGTGCTTCAAATATCACTACTTAAAAGAACCTCTTGAAATTTAAGATTTGTCCCCAGTGGGATTAAAACACGAGGCACTAGAAAAAATATTTTATTCATAGTAATCACGATCTAAGATACTGAATAAGGCTCAGCTTTCATTTTACTTATTTATTTTTATATATACAAAGCTTTTTAAATAAAAAATAGTTTTCAGTATTTATTATTGCTATATTGGTGAACATTCGAGATTTTACGACTAACTTTTTTATAGGAATAGAACGCAAAACACGAATTTACGATCGCCACTAAGCCGAAAAATATAAAATAAAGCCGAAAATTCTTTTATGCGGCGCCAAAGCCGGTTGTATAAAATAGTGACGGTATAAAGTAAATAAAATGCATCCCTGTTGCGTTGGGCGACAATCCTTCACTTATACGCAATTTATATTCGCTTGCTAGAGCCAGCATAATCCTGCCTTTTCTCTGCTGCCTGTTTAACATATATCGACTCAACGCTGCCACTCTACGGCATATTTAAATTTAAAATCTATATTCTGATACACAATTTTTAACCTTAACAACTTTAAAAATAAATATTTATTTATAAAAGTTGGCTGTAGCCAGTACCTCCCGTATTATTGTAACTGGTATTATTATAAATTATACCAATTTTTAAGCTGTTATTAAAAAAATGGTCGAGTATAAAAATGATTTATTTTAAATATAACCTCGTTTTTGCGAACAATTAGAATTGTAAATGAATTAATCTGAATATTTTGATCAACTTCCTAATTGAGATTTCAAATAATATTTTGTTATAAATTGTTTTGCTTGCAATATCTATGTACATAATATTTTAATAAAGTGTTTTAAGCAAATAGTACTTATAAACAACCATAACTCAATTGCAAAAGAATGGCGACAATGACCTTATTCGTAAAAATGTAACAGAAATGACTTCCAGTGACAAAAACACTCCAAGAGGCGTTTCCAATTACGAAATAGAAAATAAATCAAGAATTAATATGAACAGGAATTCTTCAGAAAATAAAATCAAACTTAATAACTTCCAATATGGCGCCAAATTCCAATCTGTATTCCTTGAACCAGTCAAATTGCTTCAGTAATAAGGGTCCGATTTTAATAAAAAAAGGAACTTTCATTTTGACTATTATCCACAAACAAAGTGCGGACATCATCTGGGCCCCTCTCGACAATGGGGGCCCATAATCGAACCTTCTTTGTTCCGCGTTAAAAGCCCCAAAAGTGTCCAACATCTTCATTAATATTTTCCGGAACTTTAGCTTGAACCGTGCAAGCGTCGGTGTAATCTCTTTATACTCTCGCGTTTCGTTAATTACTTTAATTAAGCGAATTTTTGTTTAAAACTAAATATACAAAACTAAAACTATGTAATATTATTAATTCATTCCGACAACGCTAATCTCGCTAACTAATTTTGATGTATTAAATGATCACATTGAAACTAATTAAGCAATTATCATACAAAACACGAAATGAATTCACAAATTAAATATTAATTCGCCGCTAATCTCTTTTAAGCCTACATTTTCATATTTCCCCTTTACAATTTGCCAGAATAAATTAATGTGCACAAATACTGTCAATAAATACTTATTACTACAAATAAATGGCTCGTTAAAATTAATAGATTAATAAAAATTCGTATTATATGCTCAAAACAAACTTTATATGGCATAAACAGCTTACATGCGGGGATCGCGCATTAATTTTGGCATTTCGAAAGCTATTTAGCCAGAGAAAATACCAATACGGCTTTTACGCTAAACAAATGCTAGTTTTCGCTTAAAACAGATAGCAGTTTAACGTATATAGAATCATTTAAATATTGTAAGCGTTTAAAGACATTATGTAGTTATCTTAAGTAGTTTTATCAGATTGCCCATTAATTCCTTTTAAGCTCAAAGTTGATGGTAGAAAGACGATCGTCAATGGTAGTTTTGTAGTTCTACTGATAATTTAAACGGTAGTTTTTTGCATAATAGACTTTGAAGTGAAGAGGTACTTTAGACTAAATAGAAATGACAGTAATTGCGTAATTCCAGTGGCCCTTAATGTTATCTTAGTGCTGCCGACATTTAAATAAAGTACTCTACGCCCCTTCACTATTTAGCATGCAACTAAGTAAGTTTGTAATTATCGTCATTAATACTAATTAATATGATTCACTTTTGTATAACATTATTAGCTATTCATAAACTAATATTAATCGAATCCAATGACTGTCTAATATATAAATGAATTCAATATTTTCATCCAATCAATCGACATTAGACCTTAACTCACAAACATACATTTTAAATTCATCTAAACGGTACCACACAGTGTTACACTATCAAAAAGTCGTAGAAAAAAACCGGTCGTATTTAAATAAATTCGTTTCCTCAAAGGAAGTATTTATTAATCATCTTCAAAATGTCGACCTTGTGAGTCGAAGGCTTTGCGAAAATTTGTGTTTGTAGGCAGTAGGAAGTGACCTTGGCTTGTACCGATAGAGCCTATAAAAGTATAAAATAAATATTAGTTGCGTGTGTTTGGGAACATGATTGGCCATAGTGGTCACGGTTTACCTCCATGGGGTTTACAAAGCATGTAATTAATCATATGAGTGTTATGTGTTAATAATAATAATAAACATTAATGTTATTGACTTGTTAAACAGTAGTTCGAGTGATCAGAATTCTTATATTTAACAATACTTCTAGACCAGATTTTTTCCAGTTACTTGATATGATAAAATTTCTTGTATCCAAACTAATAATAGAGTACACAAACCGAGAAGAGAAGGGATAACAGTTACTCTACATCTAAAAATAACATAAAGACAGAATGTCTTAGCTAAGGTCACACTAAACTCTCGATTCGTAAGACATTGATATATAGAGCTGTGGTAGAGCAATCTCTATTTATCCAGGAAACTAACTGGCTGCCCTTGTAGAGTCGGCTCTACGCGCTCACAATAATAAGCGACTTATAAACATATGGTGTTGCCAACTTATACAGGATGTTCCGTATAATATTATTATATTTCATAGCAAGTATAAATGTTTGTTTATGTATGAGATTAATGGTTTGTTTGTTGTGATTATAAAATTGTCTGTGGTGAATAATTTAAAAAATATGTCACTATTTTCCACATTAAAAGACATTCAAAGTACGGAAATCATCACCCTGTTGAAATGTATACCGCATATTAGGTACTCAATAAATATTGTCATAAATTAATACTTAAATACTACGAGTATACATATAAAATTAAAATAAGTATATTTTTTTAAAACCTGCGCCACACTATCATCATCTTACAAGGAACAGGCCACACTCTCCATTCGCCATGTGGCAAGTACGTGTTTTGTAACTCAGATCTTACAAACAGTGATAAACATACAAAAAGGAAAAGTTGTTACACCTGGCCACACCTTTTCCTGAACACTAGATTATAAATAATATATCAGGAAGTCTAGTTATTGTGTCTAGTCTTGTACCTACATGAGATACTGTTTCTTACTTATTAGGAGTACATAATTGAATATTTATACATGAATTATACGTGTATGTACATACTATGCAGCTAGTTATAATAGACTTAGTATTATTAGACTCCCAAATTGAAAATTTGAAGTGATAATTTTCATCCTTCTATGTTTTTTACCCAAAAATCTGAATATTTAAACATTACCATAATCGCAGTTGCTGCCTACCCTCCACAATAAACCAAACCGTTAAAACTAATCCAGTTTAATATAAATTTATGAACAAGACGTTGTTTGCAATCAAATACAAATTATGTTTTTCTTATAATCCAATAAAAGTCAGCTATCAACCAAGAATTACAGACTGCTACTTGCAATCGAACCTATTCATTTACTCAATTACCTCTGTATACCCACTTAATGATACTTTTTCCAAGTTTTATTGAAGGAATTTCAAATTTTCTGAAGCCTAATCGTTCAGCTGTCCTTTCTCGACAAACTTTATTATACCCTTGCGATTGTTTCCAAGAAACTATTTGAATAGCAAACACAATAATAATTACATCGATCATTGAGTAAATATTTTTGTAGACATACCATCCAATTACAAGAAATCATAAAACTATTCTGTCGATAGTTGCCAGCCACTTTTGTCATGATAAAGCATTGAAACCTAGACGTAGAAAATACAAAAACCGCCGCGACATTTATTGTATCTCATATATGCACCGAAGTATAAAAAGTGGGTACGGTCCCTGTCATTACGTATCGTACCGAGACAGACATGATTCATCAATGTCATTGAATGATTGGCTTCACTATATTTAACTTTGAAGTTGAACTATCGTGCATCCGTTAATATAACCAAGTATTCTTCAACAAAGTAAATAATACTCACAAAAAATCATTTAACTTCGTATCAATTCAACCGTAACCAAGAATCACTTGAAAAACTCCTTAATCCCCAAAATGGCCGTCCACAAGCATTATTACGTGCAGTCAAAATCCTAAAACGAACACTAGCCGAACTTGAACCGTACGGAAACGTCGAAATAAAAAGCTGCCTAGCAACAGAATAGTCACGAACATTAGACACGTGATTAATCGAGTCACAGCCGTTGCAGCTCTGGCCTAAAACAGATTGTAGGTCTAAAAAACTCCGCTCAACAATAACTGCGTTTTCAACCTGGATAGCGGACCGCAAAAACTGCCTCCTTCGTTCACCTTGAAACTGTGTGGGTGTTCTCAACTTGATTTAGTTGCTATCGTACAAACCCTTTTTTTGTCTTGAATATAAATAAGTTTGGAAAAAAAACTTTTTGTCGAATCGCGTTCAACGAAAGTGGTTCAGTTTAGGGACGCGAGGTCGGGTTATAACGTGATTTGGCAAAAATCTGGTTATGAAGAAGATTTTAATACATTTGCATTGTTAATTTGCTGATAATATCTGGCAGTTCGCCTTGACAGAACAGCTATTATAATATTTGAGTCACTCACTGTGGTCACTTTTCTATTTGAAGAGACCTCTTCACTTCCTGAATGCGTCATGTTTGTTTTCCAAAACACTTGAAGTTACCCAGCCCGGCGCTATGTCGGTCCTTCACGTTCCTTCAGTTAACCTCGGCGACTAATCCGGACATATGACACTTTCCCTAAACTTGAACGCTTATCTCCAAGGAGAGACTGCCGTCTGCTGTCCTCAGATCACTTCCTACATGATTTGATAATAACTTCCTGCGTCCTTATACATCCTCATTAGTCAATGTATAAACAAATTACGGAAATGTTTATTGCACTTGAACGTTTTATAGATCCAGTCGGCGCTATCGTTTCAAATAGAATTTCAAATAGGGTCACTAGTGGCAGACGTTATCGCGAGCTATTTTTGGTTTAATTGCGCTGAATTTTGGCCGTGTTCAGCGTAGGTTTTAGTGCCTTATCAACAGATGTATAGTCGCGTGAGAACATAAATTAACGTACACCAAATCTGAGCAAATGCTAATTTAGTTTTGCGTTACAAAACGAAGTTACTCAAGTAATTTCTATCAAAGTAAACTCAACATGTTTCACTCGAACTAATATGTTCAACTTTAGTAAAACACACAACGCATACATCGCAACAATTGTGTAGTGTATTAGAGATTTCGACTTGTTTGTAATAACAATAATTCCTATGATAACAATATCATTAATAGTAAGGACACTGAGTTAATGTTGCACCACCTTGCATACTAATTGGACCTGGCCCGGCTCTGCGAATCGGACATGCCTGAAATAATAATAGTGCTCCCACAATTAAACAGATAACGTTGATTTTCCACCTCGAACGCGAATTTACATTATAGTTGGGCACAAATTGCCTGTAAAATTTGAAAACGTGATCGCGACTAACAGCATTTTCTCTTTTGTTCACAGACAAAGAAGAACAACCCAAACCACATAAAGAGGCCGATGAACGCGTTCATGGTCTGGTCGCAGATAGAGCGCAGGAAAATATGCGAGCAGACACCAGACATGCACAATGCAGAAATATCCAAGAACCTCGGCCGCGTGTGGAAGACGCTCAACGACGAGGAACGTCAACCCTTCATCGATGAGGCGGAGAGATTGAGGCAGTTGCACATGCGAGAGTACCCCGACTACAAGTATAGGCCCCGCAAGAAAACCGCAAAGTCGGACAGGTCTGGACCTAAGACTGGAGGCGTGACGAAACCAAAACGCAAGCAACGCGCAGACTCCAATAACAACAGGGGTGTTACAAGGCGAAGACGGCCCGTTCCATCGGTTCCCAGTGTACCAGTGGAAACTCCCGCGCCTCCTCCATTGCCGGCTAGCCCAGCTGGCTCACCAGACTCCCCAGAGTCAGCTTGCTTCTACGAAGACCATAACCGTCGCGAGCAGGCGGACTTAACAGATCTCTACTCCATCACCGACCTGCTGCCGCTCCCTGCAGACTGCGAAGTAGACCTGGAGGCCCTCACGACGGACATAGACTCGTTTGAGACCGCGTCCTCTTCATCAGGGTCGCATTTTGAGTTCTCGTGCACGCCCGACGTGTCGGACATGCTCAGCGAGATTGGCGTGGCGGGCGACTGGGTCGACCACACGTTCTCATCGTATCTGACGTCGTCTTAGAGCGGTGTTCGGGTCGCCACGGCCGCTGCCGGCCGGTTCCACTGATCTCATGCGGTCGGCCAACGGGCCGCCCCACGGAGGCCGACGACGCGGCGACCGCTCGCCGCTCCGCCTAGAGAGTGCCTATCCAAAATGACGTGTCGACATTTGGATTTAATGTACAAAGTTATTTAATAAGGATCGAGGGTGAAAATTGTTTTGACAACCGACCTCACGGTCGCGTTCCTCTTCGGTTCGTACGGTTACTTTAATCGTTTAGTTTTAAAGTTTCATTTTCGATAACGGCGACGCTTCGTCTAGGAAGCGGCATCGGGTTTTATAAACGTAGGCTGTGAGTTGGTTCTTGTTTTGTCGTTTTGCTTTCGTTATTAAATTTATGGTTTCGACACATAATGGAGGTAATTTCCAAACGACACGTCTCAGACGCATCTCAGTAAATAAATCCGTCTGCTCTCCGTCGCCTGGTTAGTTAGCCATGGGCCAGTCAGGTCGCCCGCCCCAAGCTCGCATCGCGTTGTCGCGCCATATTCTTTGTACGTGTACATTACACGACTTGGCTTCTAGTGCATTCTAAAATCGTGAGTTTGCATTCTACGTCATACCTTCTTTATTATTTTATTAACAATTGTACTTTTAAGGGTCGTCTTTTTTATTTTGAAACGTCTTAGATCGAAATATGTATCATTCTTCGAGTAATAGAAAAATAAGACTAGTTATAGTCGTTTGTCTTGCGTTCGTATATACCTACTGTACGTAAGTTCACTTTATACTTTGATGCACACGTAGATGATAGTTAAACATTATTATTTTACTATTGGAAGCTGATCGGTATGTCATTGGAAGAATTTCGGTGTGCGGGAGTAAGTGTTTGTCTGGGTTGGATGCGGTGGGCTCCTACCATGTTTGTCATCGGAGCGAGTCACGCGTACTCATTCAATTCTGTCGCTGCTGTATGTATGTATAACATGTCTCCTTCGCTACGCGTCTCTCGCTTCCCTCTCGCAAGAGTCCGATGGTAGGGGTCCACTGTTCGTTTATAATAAATGTTTCGAGTCGGTCTGTAAGTTAGGATTCGTAAAATAAGGTTAATCTTTGTTCAGTGGTAAGGTATGAAATTATATTGTATAGTATGATGGCACCTATGGATCGATGTGAAGGGACACTTTCAATTCTCGTTTCGTTACTCTTCTCGCTACATTGACAACACAATAACGTCTATAGAAGATACATATCAATAATTGGAATGCGTTGTACCGCGGGACGGTGGGTTATAAAGAAATATTATATTGGATGGATCAACAAATTGTTAGTTTTCAACACAAAATGTTTTGCTAATTCAAACTCTGTGATTTACTTTATGGATTTTCTAAATTATAAGGTTCTAGTGGAGACTGATATCGCATAGATTAGTTTTAGCAGCGCTAGCTTCTCTAACTCTTTTATTTTTTCGTTAATTTTTAATACTGGGCATAACATTTTATATTGTGGAAAAATACGTACATATTTTTGATATTTTGCATTGCTGTGGAATACGGATTTCGGACATTTTACAAATTTTTCATGATTATAATAGTTAGTCAAAAATATTTCAGAATTAGATAGCAATAAATATCGATCGGATTACCTTACTTTAGGCTAAACAAATTGAAATCACTTTCGATCCCGCTTTCCACAGCAGAGCATAAACTAAACAAATTGTATTTAAAGAAAAAAAAGAAAATTTTTGCTAAAAATCTGTCAATTCATTGAAAATCGTGTCAGTTAAGGGGTAATGTTTAAAGCAATGTTACCTCATTCATTATTAAGATAGATACCCTTCTACATAATAATATTATACCTGTTTTCAAATTGTAACAATATTTGTAGATACTTCTGTGTCCCTAAAAGTATAAGGGATCCGTTGTGCTCTAATAGGTAAGAAAGAAAATGCTTTACCTATATTATATTCTTTATATAATATATTATATATGTAAAAAAGTTCATGTATTACTTAGTAAGTGTCTATGGAAATCCATTTAAATAAGGAAAAATGCATAAAAAGCGTTATCTATATCTGTCTTGTGTGTTGTAGGGCGATAATGTAAGAGAGGACGAAAAATAAATTTGTGCCTAATGAAAAAAAAACTTGAAAATTCTTGTAATACTTATTTTAGTGATGCTCAAACAAGTATTTTAAGCGTGTAGTGTTTAGACGCTGTTAATGGACAAAACTTGTATAAAAGATATTCTAAGATTATATTATTCGATGCCAGATTTGCATTTTGTTTATCATTTTGCTTCATACGTGTTTCATCTAATGGGATTCTTTATTTTTATCTGCAATTGCCGTGAACGAATTTTCGTGTCACCTTTCACAGACGTTGTTTTGAGATCATTCAGAATATTTGATTTGGTTAGAATTCATTTTGTTGTGAGGTATGATTTTGAGTTTATCAGTACTGAGCGTTAAATAGTTTTGTTTCATGATTTTCATTGGTTGTTCAAAAATGTTCTTATAACTTTGAATTGTGCATTTTTCGTTAGTTATACGTGACGGTATCTATCCAAAATGAGGAATTTCATTAGATATTTTGACTGCGCATCCAGTCCCTTCGTATTTTGAAGTTTGACAATAAAATGTCATTTCTTTCAGCTTTTTCATCCCTTAGTTTTTACTGCAGACTTCCTTATTGCGTTTGTTTACAATGTTGCTATATTCGTCTTCATTTTCATCTCCTCCCGTGTATATAAAGGGGTTATAATCAATAAATCAACGATTGAAAGCAATATTTGTGTCTACATTAAGAGACATCACGCTCAAATTAGTATAATTCTCTTCTACTAATAAAAATTGTAAATTTCCAAACCATAGACATAGCATAAGATATTCAAGTACCATTTTAAATTGTAATCCAATATGTCATTGAACATTTTCCGATACAAAGCCGCTGTGCTTCGAATGAAAATTAATTTACGCATTTTTTACCTCTGTGTGATTAAAGAAAGTAAAGTAAAAATTTACTTTTTGTTCGAAACGGGGCGATTCTCGTAATCCTGATCATTTCTAAAGTTGTTCATGTTTTAATTCTGCAAGCAAAGCCGCTGTACAAAACCTGTAAATATGATTTTTATTAGTGGGGAGTTGTCAAAACCCCAAGAGTATTTTATAATGCAACATCGAATTTAAAATGTTGTAAATTAGCGCTTCTCTTTCAATAATTATTGGAATTATCAGGGTTTAATAGTTTTTCATTTACGTATTTTAGATGTATAAATGTCCCTAAGATTATCATTGTCTTCCTTGGACAATGTTCTTCAAAATTCTTTGCTTAAGGCTTTCTCTCTTTGTAGCCTTAAAGTTCTTTTAATGAGTACCATGGAAGTATATTTTAATCTCAGGTATGTAAGTAAGTATTGAAAAAAAATGTTAATAATAATGAAGTCAAAATAAAGCGACACTGTGACAAAAAATTAGAGGGTATATACACGTCTTAAGTAAAAATATCATAAAGGACGTAGTTGTTGTAGGTTATATTATTATATATGTAATTATATATTATGTATACTTATATATAAGTACGTATGTCACGGTCATGTATAAAGAACTATGTACTTTACGGTGTGGCGAAATGTTTGGTCGCGATTAATCTATTTGGTTGTCGCAATGACCTGGTACTTTGACCGTGACATACGCTATAAATATTGTTGTGTATCAATTTATCGAGATCGCATGAAATTAAGCTTAAAATCTCGCTTTGACGACTAGATGTATATAACCTGGCGGACGGACATATTGCGAAGGAGTAATCCACTTGTATTATAAGAATTGGTTATTGTCTATAAATGCGATTAAAATGTTAGTGAATTCATTCACAGAACTGAAAAGTTGATATTCTCGTTACGTTGTTTAAAAAAATAATTGATCGTAATTATATCTCTGTATTATATGTATCTACGCTATTGTTGATTTATTGTAAGCATATTCTATCTTAGTACCTCTCCTTCGGTTTCGAAACAAATGGGAAGGTTACAATTATATTCTAGGACTTTCTCTAGACCAGAACCAGGCGTTTGTAAATATATCTTGTACATAGCAACAAAATGGAGACGAAAGAAATCTGGTTGATCCTCTTCGATATTGCGTCCACATTTGAACCTATAGAATGCGAGCAGATGCACAACATCGTTGTTTATTTGTTCGTCATGAAGATACTGCCACTGGTTGCAATCTAGAGTAGTACGTCCTGTACCTGTTTGCTTCGAAATATTATATCAAGACACAACGAATCTTCTGTTCCCTTCTTAAGTCCTCTCGCACTTCATTAATATTAAATATAAAGTAATTGGTGTCTGTAACACGATGTAAACGATATATTATCACCAGACAGTAGTACACATATATTCGTTGTTATAGTAGAGTGTGTCATTATTATTGGTAACTTTAATAATTATTGATAATTAACAAGAATTAAGAACAAAAATAACGAAAAATTTCGCACAACATGAATCAAGGAACTAACGTAAGAGTAAAGTGAATAGTTTTAAAACATTATGATTAAGGGAATGTTACTGTAAGACGCGAACTTTGTGTTAACGAATTCTGTAAACCCTGGGGGATATACCTGCTCTGTATACATAATTATATATAAGTATGTATTTTAAAAACAATCGGCGAGGTACTTGCGCCTGCGGTTGTATCTGTCCTCAATCGTTGAAAGTTTCATGTTGATTTACTGTATATAATTACTTTGAACAAATTAGGAACAAAAAATGGTCCATTAAATTTTAACAAATAATATTAAGGTAGATGCATGTATACATTTGGGATATATGCTTTGGTGTACAATGCCAAACTTAATACGATGCTAGAAAGCATGGCTTTAACAAATATCGCTAAGTATTGGACTGATGTTTTCATTTCCCAGCTTTCGCCATTGGACTTGTAAATACGTTGGCCATTATCCAGAGACATTCTAGTCTGATTAGACGAACTTCCTCATCAATGGCCCCTGATACCTGAT